CATACAACTGGCAAAACTTAAGAGGATGGGTATAGAGGATAGGAAATCATTGGAAACTGGTGCATGTGAGGTGGAGATGGCTGAGGCAAATAGAGAAGGGATTTTCTCGCCTTCTGCTTCTTTGGAGCATGGCTTGAGTTCTTCCTTGGGTGATGGTAGCCATGTTTTCTTAATGATAAATTTTTGATGTTTTACTTTGGCTAGCATATTCTGTTATTTTAATCATGCAGCATATTAATGAATTTCTTTTCCCCTGCTCTAGATGAGGTAACAGGAGCTGGAGGGCTGACTGTGAAATGAACTGTAAATAGAAGCCATTTTTGGAGCTGGATCTTGTTAGCAACATTATGGTATATTTCCGTGACAAGAACTTAGTGAGCTACACTGGCAGATCTCCATGACAGTAACCACCAAATTCAGTTGCTCGTAAAGTTGGCTCTGCAAATCGAATTGAGTCCCAACTCCCAAGTGATGCTCAGTTCTAAAACAAATGATTTAAAACAATTCAAAATTAATTCCAGGAGTATATTGTTTAGTGCATTGTAATTTTCCCCATCTCTCCCAAGAATATTAATAGAAATATGATATTGTGGATATTGGCTTACCATGTATTAGCTGAATGGTTGAGATGTGAAACTGCAGCAGTGGGCATGAAGAACTTATTGTAGGTTACCAACCGGAAAAGATTGTATTGTTCCAGAAGTTGTTTCGAATACACTGTTCAGAAAAAGAAAAAAGTTATTTTGTATACACTGATGGTTGCTAGTAAGCCATCAGACATCACTTCAAATGCTTTATTCCGACTTAAATGGACCATTTGGTGCAACCCAAGACATTGTAAGATGCAGCAGGATTTGAGGGTAATACTTTTCATCTGCTTGGTGCCCGACCAACATTTTGTCTGTATGTGTTTTGGCTTTTCTTCAACTAGAATCTGTTTGTACTTCCATTGAGGCCAAATCTTTAAAATGGATGCATTACTCAACGACAGATTGCTTCAAAACTAATCAACATATCTTCTTTTCTTGAAAGTGCAATAATGAGATCTTCATCAAAAGAAGTAGATGGACAACTTTTCCTGTGATTGTCTAGTATGATACTACACCTAATGTATTTTATTCTGGTGCAAACAAATTAGACCCTTTGATTTGTCGGCCAAAGTGTAGAATGTCTTAAAATGTAAGCCCCCCCCCAACCCAATTGGTTTCATCCAACTGGTCTTTTATTTAGGTGTTGGGGCGGGAGGAGTCAAGTCAAAGTAAATTCAAATAATTTGAGAAATGGAAGGATGTTTGCAATCTTAGCTTGAAGATGGATATCTGAGATGGTTGAGTATTAATTGAACCATCGCTATTTGTTTGAGCCTCATTGCTTAAGGTCCCAATACATTTTGTGGGTGATCTTCCTCTATGTATCTTTTATAGAAATTCTGATGGTAAAGTAAAAAACATGATATATTAAGATAACAAAGGTTACAGTGAAAATACAACAAATGAGTGTTGTGGTAGCAGTGTAGCACTGGGATTATAGCCATGAGGCTAAAAAAGGATCAACTTCCAAACCAAACAACAAAAGGGCCTTACTTAGAAAGCCAACCAAAATTCAGCCCTACAAGAACTTGTTGGAATGCATGTGTATGTATAAGAAAGAAATCTCAAATGTGACAGATAAGAAAGCTGTTGCTTAAAAGGTGGTAGAGGGGTAAGAACTCGGTTTATTCAGTTAAAAACCAAGCTGAATAAACCGGGATTTTAAAAATTGAGCTTCTAATCGGCAAAATATGATATATTATATAATATTAGTATTACAATGAAATTTGGTTTCGGTTTGAACGGAATAATGCTCACCCCTAAAAAAAGTAAAAAGGTGGTATCCAACTATTGTACAATGTGTGCCTTAGCTCACTGCACTGGTCTTTGTGACCCCTCTCAATGTACAACATAACTTCAAATCTTCAATAAATCAATAGTCCTCTTGACAAGAATAAAAAAATATCACACAAAAATCCCCATACATCTATAGACAGCTCTCCCCTCCAAAGAACCAGCTAAAAGAGGATAAACCAAGAAAAATAAGTCGAATTCAAAATAATGCTAATCCTTCCAACAGCAGTTCCTGATATCTCAAGCTCCCCATATGATCAAATCCCTAAGCTCCCTGCTTTTCTCTCCATCTCCACCTTCCCTAAACATTCCATTACCCCACCTTCAATCCCTTTCGCACCCTCCCTGCTTTCCTCAACCCCAAACAACAATGAATACACTGCATTTCTTACCCACCTTCTACACAACCAGAACACTATCCTTATCAAGTCTTGGATTTTTTTAACTCTTCTTCTAGGTCTCTTTTCCCCCCTCTCTCTCTCTCTCTCTCTCTCTCTCTTGCAAATTCTTCCCACCCAACATGAGTAAACCCATGCTTTTAGTTATATGCACTTATCTATCAATTACCCTTTTCAAGTCGATCATCCCATATAGTTTGCATTTTCATGGATAACTGAAACGCAAATTTTGCATGGAACCCAGTGATGGGTGGATTTGCATCTTGATCAAAGAAGAATGGAGAAGTAATTCTATCCCTGAAAGAGACCTTTAGAACTTATGTGTGAAAGAGAACGATATTAAATACCTTAGCTCTTTGCAGGGTCTTTGTTGATATATACTTCTGACAACAATGTTTCAGTACTAAAACTTTCACCTGGGAAAGAAAGAGAGTGCCATGGATGCTAATTTCAGCTACAAAGGGTAAATTTGCTTCAATTCATTTGGCAAAACCTTCAACAATATCAATAAAATGAAGCAAATGCTCTGCTCTTACAGTAACAAACCCATTTAGTATGTTTTCATGAGTATCAGTTTGTAATTAATTCTGTGCTACCCTTATTAAACTTGTCCAACTGGAAACCCTCACAAACATCAGGAAAAAAGTATGTTATAACTATGATTTTTGTAGGCTATTGGTTATCCACATAAATCTTAGAATGGATTATTGACATGAATAAGGCACAATTAGAAAATTACTTTGTTAGGATAAGGCCGATAATAGAATTCAATATAACAAAGAACAGTGAAATGGAAAAAAAATATTTAATAAAGAAAATATCAGAACTTTTTACATAAATATCAATCCTTTTTACAGATATCCTACTCCATGGAAAAATTCCTAGTGCAAGAGCACGTTACTGAAGGGATGAGAGATCCATCCTATGGACGCCTAAAAGATTGCGGAATAAGGGGCGAATTTCAAAAATTTTATCTCTCCCTTCAACTGGGAATCGTATTCCCTATTTAGAAAATCATATTTTCAAGGATCAATCTTGAACCATAAACTGAACCAGATCTGAACCAAAAGGAGTGGGAGAGGATTATACCTGATAC